GGTTGTGGTTTGTTCCTGAGATGGGAGTGAGAGGGGTACGTACGAAGCGGAAGACCATTTTGGAATTGGTTCTGGGTTGGACTGGATTGATGAGGTGTTGGGTTGTGGGTTGTGTTGTATATTGTGGTGGGTGTGTTTGATGGATGGTAGAGGTGAGGTGAGGTGTGCTAGATTTGGAGGGTGGTGGTGATGTGATTACGTCATGGGCGTGGTCATAGCTTCTGATACGGGTACGTCTCAAGGTACAGGGCCAGCAGTATTACCAGGATGGGTTTAATTGAAGACAATATCTACAGTATATATATTTACGGACTTCGTCAATCATGGATACGAACATGAACAAGGTTACCAGCCGAATGTTTCGACGTGGAGGTAGATCCCCTGGGCGCCAGTCCCCTTGTGGACCGCCCGTTCGTCGCTGAGATACACCACGCTGCGGCGGACGTCATCCGAGAGTCCCTCTGGTCCACATACGACGACGGCGCTCTCGCCTTCTGCTTTTTCGAGGACCTTGCGGATGATGGTGCGTGGCTGCGGTCGGCCGGATAGGAGGTTGAGGTGGTGGGATTGCGCGGGTTCTGGTTGCGCTGATGCTTCGGTTTGAAGCTTTTCGTCGCCGTCGGCTGCAGCCGTTGGGGTTGGCTCCGAGGGTTGTGATGCCGGAGCGTTTCCGGAACAGGTGCATCTGTGTTCGGTGATTTCGTCCTCGTCTTCTACCGCAGCTGTGCAGCAGCAGCCTCCGCCGGGTAGGCAGCCGCTTGTGGTCGCGGGGTCTTGTCCGCTTGAGCTTGACGCGGAGACGGAATGGACGGAGATGGGGTTGTTCTTTTCGGAGAATTCCTCTTTGCGGGGTTCAATGGCCTTCGGGGCTTCGGCCGGAGGGGATGGTGGCTGTAGACAGGCGGTTTTCGGTGGCTGCTGCTCCAGCTTCTCATCGCAAGTGATATAGATACTCAGTTCCAGTTCTCTGATCATATCAGGCTGGGCGCGTCGGCATTCGTCGACGTCGGATAATACGGACTGGATCTGAGACTCAAACCAGCTGAGTTGGGCGCGGGACTTGATGACCCACACGAAGCGAATTCGCTTGGTGGCGGCAAGGCGACGCGTAGAGTTTCCTAGACATTCTGTTTTCCACCCTGCAACGATGTCTCGCAATAGTGGAATGGTAAAAGTGGCCCCCATGCCGCCTGCGAGGAGAACGACGCTGTCAAATTGCCTCAGGGGTCGGATTGTGCCGTATGGACCGTCGATAAACACCGTACGAGGTCGCTGGGCAGGTGAAGGCTCTCCGGACCCGAGGGCGAGATGGTGCTTCGAGGCGTAATGGAAGAACCGCCTTGTACCACCCTTTTCGGCTCGCACTAAGAATTCCATCTTGCCGTCGTCCGAAATCGAAGCAACGGTGAACGGGTGACTCTGTAGAGGCACGATGGAGTGGCAAGTGAGAAACGCATGCTGTCCGGGCTTCCACCGAACACCTGGGTTCTCGACTGTAATTCGCGTGACGTTGCCAGGTAATGGAGTGAAAGTTGCAACGTTCGCCCAGAGAGAACGTCGATTTGATTTCGACGCATGGAAGATCGATAGGTTGGCATAAGTTGCCCACGCATACCGAGCAACCCGATCAAACACCAGAAATCCTATGGAAATCCATACCCAAGCCTTGACCTCTGCCGGCGCATGAAGCCAGACTGCAGCAAGGAACCCAGCGAACGTTACCAGATGCTGCAAGACGAACACCTCGTAGCTCAGTCTTCGAATGGGCGCCGCTGATGAGATGACGATGAATGTCAAAATGCACCATGCAGCAAATCCGCGTTGTGTCAGCACGTCGTTCCGCAGCTGATAAGTGATGTAGTCATATCGGGCCCAGTTTCGGAACCAAAAGCCCATGTGAATGGTCACAGTCAACCATAGAGTCCTAGAAATCCAACGGTGGAACCAGTTCAGGCGCTCATAGCTCAACCCCACAAACAATCCAATGATATTTTGTCTTCCCGCCAGCAGAAAGATCAATGGCAGCTGGGCAATGGCGACAAAGCCGGTTCGGTAGCCGACGTCTTCCCATTTCCATTTATTCGTCGTATCCAATTTGTAAAAGCAAAAAACGAGGACCACTGCGAGGTTGGCCAGGATGATGGCTATCGGTCCCAGAGGAGCAAAGTGTAACGATCGACCGCGAATCGTTATGGGAGGCAAGGTCGCGTAGCTCGCTTCACGAACCACAGCTGTTAATGTGGCGTAGGAGCTGAAAAAGAGCGATTTCGGCTTGGACGGTGTGAGAGTCGAATCGCGTAATCTGTGTCGAATTGAGCAACCGGGTTTCTCAAAGCTCTTGAATGGACTCTGCAACCCACCTTTGGTATGCTAAGAAGCGATTAAGTACGTTGGCAACAGTTCCAGCAGCAATAGCACTACCGACAACGGCCCAGTACATCCGCTGAAGGTAGAACACGTCCGGCACCCCATCGCCCATGGACATATGGCCCATGCCACTCATCGACATGCCATCCATGGCTGCGGTGTCGAAGAGCTCAGATAGTTTACGGAAGCAAGGGGGTCGATATGCGCTGTGCGACGAAAGATTTCCTATCCTGAATCGAAACGGCTGGCTGTGCGCTTCTCATTGCAACTCTAAAACGCGGCGGTGGTTGTATTCAGTATGACAGCGAACATGGACGAGGTTGTACTGCTTGATCTGTCCGTAGTTCGTCGTACAGATTAATCTGATCTGATCCCGAGAGTCTCAAAGCTCGATTATCAGTTCTTGATCATCAGTTTTCCAAGACCGCCATCACAAGCATGACAGCGACAGGAAGCGTTCAAGGTGAGAGTGTAAAGAATGCGTGGCGGCGTAGCATTCTTACTACGAATGGAGCCAAGCGATAAACTCGGGAAAATGTCTAACATTAATCATAGATAATCAATTAGAAGCAGTTGCCCACTAATAATCTGCTCATCTCGGGCAATCTAGATCTGAAGACGTTGCGGAACAGCCAAAATACCCAATGCTGATTGGGTGTAGGCCTCAAAAATGTGCTCAACCCGCCCACTCACACCATTTCTAAAAGCACAGAAACATGTTCAGAGTCTCAGACATCCCCGCCGCCCGGAAGGGGGCCGGATCCATTCCAGAATTGATGGCTTTAAACTTACTGTGCTCGCATCGTTTTCGTCAATCATGTCATTACTCGTTGTTGTCCAGTTTCCATCTTCCCAAGTCCATAACCACGTCTGCAGTACGATCCTCGGGTACGGGGATTGACCAGCAAACTTATCGCCCTGGTCATTTCGCAAGCATTCTATTAGAACAATAATACATAGACAGCAGACAAGAACATGGACCACTCGAGCCATTCGAGCATGTCTTCCTCTTCATCAATGACCATGACTATGGTCTTCACCAACAGTCATGACACTCCGTTGTTCTCCACGGCATGGACACCGTCTTCTAGCGGTGCTTATGCAGGCACCTGCATCTTCCTCATCATCCTGGCCATCATCAATCGCTGCTTAGTCGCTTTCAAAGCCTCCATGGAGCACTACTGGTTTGCGACTCATCTCAATCGCCGTTACATCGCCATAGCGGGAAAAACATCTGAAGCCGGTCGTATCGACGCAGACCCTGACGCGAAGGTCGCTTCTCTGGTAACTGCTCAAGGTGTGGAAGAGTCAGTAAAGGTCGTGCGACGAGTTTCGCGAGAGCCTATCCCCTGGAGGTTCAGTGTCGACCTTCCACGGGCAGCTATCTTCTTGTGTATCACAGGCGTGTCCTACCTGCTGTATGTTTGATGCGCGCTCCCTTTCTGTCCTTGCGTGACCCCTAGCTAACTTTACTTCCAGCATGTTAGCCGTGATGACAATGAATGTGGGCTATTTCTGCTCCATTCTTGCTGGTGCTTTCCTCGGAGAGCTGGCGGTGGGACGGTACATCCAATGGAACGAACACGATCACTAGAATGATATGAATGTGTTTAAAAATGTCAGTTCTGGATTTAGCAACGGCGTCATGGAGTTCAACGACAACATATTACGGCATTATCAGCATTGGGTTAAACCTCGATATAATCTCTTGCTTTAAATCTCACACCCACTACTATTTACCACTCAGACAATGGAATACACCAACCACTTCGCTTCTTGAGGTGATGTGTCACACGTGTCTCCATCTATGCAAAACAGAGACCTTGAAACCAAATTCAATGATGCTTCCGCATTCCAGCTACCCTCAACGCCCTCGCTTTTATATAGCCGCTTGTTAGGCTCGCTACGGGAGTGCTATCCATCTTTACTGACATCCAGCTGTATTGTGCTCACTGTATACCCCTTGCAATTCTGTCCGCAAAAAATAAAATCTGGGCGATGGCAACTTCGCACGTTCCCAAACAATCTCCAACCCCAAGTCGTTGGCTTGACGGGTTTCGGCGGGTGTAACCTGAGTATCGACAGTCATTGKCCAATTCAATTTAGCCGGCGCGCAGGGTCCGGGCGCTAACCCTGATAAGGTTAAATAATTTGCTCATTTCTGCTCAGACCGTAACACGCCAAAAGATTCATGTGGGGCTGCTACTGTCCCAGATAGAGGCAGCTGGGAAGCTATCCTTATTGATAATTCTGTGGTAGAACCAAAGAAACGGAAATTATCACTGAATCATAGAGGTCGAGTACATTAGATGAACCGAGCAACTGTCTGTCGAAAATCGGGGCTAGACTGGGTACTAATACAGAGAGATACTCCTTGTGGAAATGGAGGCTTGACCTTGAAGCTTCGCAGTTTCCGTACAATAACTGAATCATTCGTGCTACCTTGTATATAAAGAGTAACCGGGTATCCTAGTGACACTGACAGCTCCTACAATTACACCATCGTTTAACCGTATTCACTTCTAGGGAGACATCAAAATCCTCCTTCCTCCCCTTTCCAATTCCCTCTTCCCTAAGACTTCAACTATCACCTCATCATCCTCATACCCTGAATAATCAACATCAGAAGCACAATGAAGTTCTCTCCTGCTTACCTGCTTTCCTTCGCGCCAATTGTCGCCGCTCACTTTACACTCCAATATCCCACGAGTCGCGGCTTCGATGAGGACACAATGCCTAACTTTCCCTGCGGTGGCATGGCCCAATCCTCCAACAGGACTCAGGTGTCTATTTCCTCGGGCTCCTTCCCTGTTGCCTTGAGGATGGGTCACGATGAGACTGCTGTTGAGGTCCTCTTGGCTCTTGGAAACGACCCCGGCACCAATTTCAACATCACTCTCCATCCCACTTTCCGTATTGAAGGACTGGGCGAATTCTGTCTGCCTCATGTCGTGTTTGATGAGTCTGTACTGGGCACAAACATCACCGACGGCATGAACGCAACTCTGCAAGTGCAGAGCAATGGTGATCCCAGCGGAGGTCTCTACGCTGTATGTTGATTGTCCATGACCTAAGTGAACACTAAGAAGCAGCAGACTGACAACCTCTAGTGCGCCGACATCCAGTTCTCTTCGACCGCACAGTATGAAGAACCCTCGTCGTGCACGAACAACACTGGCATTTCCGCTATTGCATTCACCGGTGCCGCTGCCCAGCGCAATGCCAACGAGTCCACTGCCGATGGTCAAGCCCAGAGCGGCAGCTCCGGTTCCAGCTCCAGCTCCGGCTCCGGCTCCTCGGCTACCCAAACTTCGAGTACCACTGCATCCTCCACTGCTGGCGCTGTCGCTCTGGAGACAGCTGCCTGGGGAATCCTGGGTGCGGCCGTTGTTGGTGGCCTTGCCGTTCTGTAGATGATTGGTCCATACATTATGAAATGATTTATGCGTCTCAATGGAATTTGTGATAGTGACAGGTGAAGATGAATTGATGATACTGCATGCCCAACTGTACCATATGCGCGCTTATTTCTCGAACCAACAAATGACATAGCGAAGGACTTATTATGATATAGGTTTTAGGATAATCTTCTGCTGAAATTTGGCTCTGTCGTGAGCCTACGGTAGTAAAAGTCACGTGTTACTGTCTAGGCTGCAAAGAGTATCGTATCCAGCTCTTGCGTTCAGAAACTCATGCAACTAGAAAATTGCCGAGTAACCAAGAAACTGTCGAGAGGTATAAATTTACACAATTTTGCTGTGTTAATTCGAATATGGACCAATTTGAGAGGCTGCGTGCAGTTGGTGAGCAAGCATCTTGCTTCTATTTGTTGCCCCCCGAAGCTGATTATCCTCAGGTCTGTTAGAGAGGTACTCCACAACGAGACACCATCTCAAATTTTACTTGAATGTGTCTGTTGCGGCTACTTACACTCTTCCGGAAACTTACAATTCCCCTGTGAAGGACTATATATACACAGCCTGTGGAAGACTCATTGGCCAACATCCAATTCTATCTGCTATCCCCGTGGGCGAAGACACCAAGGAACCTTACTTTGCGCGTCTTCCGGAGATTGATTTGGAGAAATCAGTCTCGTTTGAGAAGCGCTCCCATGATTTTCCAGAAGCAGATGAGCCAGACACTGAGTTAGAGGCGCTTCTGACTGCGCAGCATAACACGCCTTTTACATCACCATTACCTTACTGGAGACTCTGTGTGTTGACCGATGCTACAAACGAACAACGGTTCACGGCTGCTTTTGTATACCACCATGGCATTGGTGATGGAACATCTGGCAAAGCCTTCCACAAAACGTTCCTCCAGGCATTGCATGAAACCGCCGCATCAGTGGCCCCCGAAGAAGTCAAAACAGTCATAGCTCCACCTCAGGTACCGCTGCTGCCAAATTCCGAGGCAGTTCATCCACACCCGCTGTCCATTTTCTACCTTGCTACCACTTTGTTCAAGGAGAAAGTCTGGTCATGGGCCGATCCTGGGCTCTGGACCGGCTCAGAGATCATCGTACCCCTGGAGACCCAAGTGCGTCATATCGTCTTCCCGGAACATGTCACTTCATCCCTGAAGGACCGCTGTCGTCAGAACAACACCACCATCACCGCAGTGTTGGAAACCGCCATTGCTCGCTCGCTTTTCGCTCGTCTCCCCGTAAAGTTCACAAGCGTCAAGTGCACTGGTGCTATGTCAACGCGGAGGTGGCTGCCTGACATCATCACGGATGATTCAATGGGCGTCTGGGTCCAGGATTTTGAGGACACATTCTCCCGCAATAAAGTTACAAGTGACGGCTTCCCATGGGAAGAGGCAAGACGCGCGCGGCAAACCATTGAGAATGTCCTGAGTTTGAAGGGGGGAAACGCCAATCCCAACCTTCTCAAATACGTGGATAACATTCACGAAGACCTCTTCCTGTCTAAGGTTGGCAAGGCAAGGAAAAGCAGCTTTGAGGTTTCTAACGTTGGTGTTCTGGCTGCGGATCAAGACCCCAGCAAACCGCGGATTGGAAGAACGGTCTTCTCTCAGAGTGCAAGTGTCACTGGGAATGCGTTTGAGGTTTCTGTTATCACGGGCGGTGATCGGTGTATGGTGTTGGCTTTTACATGGCAAACCCATGTTGTAGAGTTGGATTTGATGTCTGCTGTCATTGACTCGATCAGGATAGAGCTGTTCAACCTTTGTTCTTAATTATTCATTTGCCTCGTGCGCCGGTATACTCTAAGGTAATGTCTCGCTCAATGTAGTAGATTCCTTTACTTTCCCCTCCTACATCGTACTCCATAGACAAAGGAAGCTGCGAAATAGTTTGTGGATTTCAACGAAGCAGTTTTAATTAGCAAGGGTGTACCTAAAATAGCGAAGGACACAACAGGATAATAAAATCTGCATTGCCCAAGAACTAGTGTTGGTTGATAGGCCAGTCCCACCGATCTTGTCGAGCCCTAAGTGACACAATGGCCGGTCAATGGATATCTTTGACTTGGTGTTTCCTTTCAGTAACTTACCATAAAAGTAACTGCTGTAAGTCTCGAAGACGAACCGGCATTGCTTAGACCATACAAAGTCCGCCGGCCAGTCAGCGCTACCCAGTACCCAACTGACATCCACAACTACTACATTAGCCTGCAGGGGGGACACTTCTGCGCGAGTACAGCAGAAACATTTGTAAGATTTTAGACGAATCTGTAACAACTCCAGAATCTCCCAATGAGGGCATGCAGGAATAGGGCCATCTCTCAGTCGTAAACGGTGGAATTGCGCTTGTATGTGATATCGAGACTGCACTACTAGCCTATCGGACTCCCCAAGAAACAATATGGCCTGGAGTTTGGCCTGAAAGCGGGCACTAATCGAGACCATACAACTGTGCAACAGGCATGGCTTTCCCTGCTCGTTGACACCGAAGTGGAACAAGCTCCAACGGTCCGGCTTGACGATTGCGTCGTCGGGTGCTCGTCGCAATTTCAAGAGTTTCACAATTCGTGCTCGATCACGAAATGCGAGCGACAGGCAGGGACACAAATCGACAATACCGGCGTAGGTCATGCATCGTCTTTGCAGAGGAGGCCTTCTGAGTGAAGATATTGGAAATTCCTTGCGTGGATGTAGCCTTAGACAGGCGCCGCATAGTCTCCAGCGGGCGTCTTCGAGCCGTAGGAGGAACTGATTCCGTGGTATATCCGGCTTGTTTAGACACAGGCGAGGAACTTTGATGTGCAGGGGTCGCGGAAAGCGGAATTCCTTGCGCTCCAAGACAGAACCGAAGAGGTTGAAAAATAGCTTGCAACTCAGGGATAGGCAAGCTTGATCGACTGGCTGAAGGAGCTCGAAGATGTCGCGGAGAAGGCACTCAGGTAAATAAAATAGCGGAGGCTCCTTTCGTACTACACTAATGTAGGGCAGCAACGACGTGAGTTTGTTGAGATTTTTACAAAGTCTCTGGCAAAGGGAGTACTGGTGATGATGCCGTTCTTCGCCCTTTTCAGACACTGCAGACATGTTATGGGAATTGATTGTGGGAATGTTAGTTATGGGGTTTGTTAGCAACTTGTTTCACTGTACTAGGATAGAATCAGAATATGCCATAATTGAAATCTCAGCTGAGGTTAGTTTGACTGTTTTCTTCTTGAGAGGTCCCGTTGATAAGGGACGTTCTATGGATCTTCTGCTGATACACGACTCATGATGAACAAATCAGTCCCTTGAAGCTGTCCCTGGGAACGTCGAAACGGTTACTGCTGGATTGAACCACAATCCCGTTCAGCACCATTCCAAGGCTGTGGACACATCACTCATATATGACAAACCCATTGATAAATCTCGAAAGTGGAGAGCATAAGCTTAAAATGCTGTCAATCATGCTATCAAGTGTGCCTGCGATGATTGATATCAACAGTGTCTTCGAGCTGACGTATAAGTACCTATGGAGTAACGTAATTCCCGGGTGAACCGCCATCCCGGGCGAGCCGCCACCTTCTGTATCCCATATAAAATGGCACTTTTCAAGGCTTAGATATCTCAACACCCAAATATCTACAGGGGGCCAAATTTAGGTGTATGGTATAGTATAGTCATATACTTATAATCTATGGCCTCCTAGCATATGTATACGTTCAGCTAACATAAAATACGCCTGTAATTTTGGTAATTTTAACTTCTAAATATTAAGAGAGAGGAACAACATTTTAGCATCCTAAGAAAGAGTATTCATATACTTTAAACTATAAATATTCTAAATATCTTACTTTGATAATAGCATAAGTAGCTGTGGTTGAGATATCTAAGCCTTGAAAAGTGCCATTTTATATGGGATACAGAAGGTGGCGGCTCGCCCGGGATGGCGGTTCACCCGGGAATTACGTTATAGGGCGGTGAAGCGCCGTGCAACATCGGCGGCAGAATCGCGGGGTTTATTGTGCCTGAGGGATTGAGTTGCAAGTTGCAACTCCATCCTTACATCTTTCTCACTCTCTACTTCTGTGCTTATCAGTATTGTCCGGACTTCTATTGCGGTCTTGCCATAATTTTATTACTCCCAGAATGGCACCGCGCGCACCGTACATTGTGCCGGCGCTCAAGAAGCACACGGCGACAGTCATCATGGCCCATGGACTGGGCGACAGGTTAGCTGCTTGCTGTGGTATTAAGCCATTGACTCTTGACTGACTTCTACTGCCTGTTCTCTTAGTGGCGCAGGATGGTAAGATTCTCTTTTCGAGGAGGTTTTGTCGGAGTAGTCTAGTTGACTCGTGTTATCGCGAAGGATGTCTCTTGCTCAGAACTGGCGTCGCCGCGGCATGTTCGATGAGGTGGCTTTCATCTTCCCAAATGCGCCTATGATCCCAATCACAGTGGTATGCTGAGATGATTCCCGTGTCATACAACTATTTACGGAGTCGCGATTAATTGTTTTGTTAAATCAGAACTTTGGAATGACGATGCCTGGATGGCACGACTTGACGAAGCTTGGGCGCGAGGTGAGATACCCTTGCTTACTTTGCCATTGAAGATGAGATCTATTTGCTAACATATTTATCGCAATAGCTCGATTATGAATCAGCCATTCGGCACCAGGACGAGCCGGGTATCCTTCGATCTCGCGAATACTTCAACACTCTGATCAAGGAACAGATTGATAAGGGCATCAAGCCTTCACGGATCGTTCTGGGTGGCTTCTCCCAAGGAGCTGCCATATCTGTCTTTACTGGTATTACTTGCAAAGAAAAGCTTGGTGGTGTCTTCGGTCTGTCCAGTTATCTCGTTCTCAGTGACAAGATCAAGAATTACATTCCGGAAGATTGGCCGAACAAGAAGACTCCTTTCTTCCTCGCTCATGGCTTGGAAGATGAAGTTGTGCTGTTCGAATTCGGTGATTTGTCGGCGAAAAAGATGAAAGAGATCGGCTTGGAGGATGTCACTTTCAAGTCTTATCCGTGAGTTCTCCGCATATCCGCCGCTGTAGATTGTTCTTTGCTTATTTCTCTTTTTCAGTGACTTGGGCCACTCCGCCGACCCAGTAGAGATTGAGGACCTGGCGCGATTCCTTCAGAAGGTTATCCCTCCAGAGGACGACGGGCAGGCTTCTGCGGGATTATGACTTGATGACCATATCCAGACTCAGGCTTTAGCAGGAACACATCTGAAAAGTCATATCTTCGGTGCCTTGAGTTTACTGCTTGCAATCCTATTGATGATATTTAGCGCAAGAGATAGAAATATACGAGCTGTTTCTAATAAGCAGCGATGAACATCGGCATCCTGTGATCGAGTGACACATTCGAATGCAATGGCATAGTACTAGAACTGGCTGCACTGGACTAGGTCACAGAAATTGTCACCTTTCGCGACTCTATCATGATCATGGTCTATCAATTGTGCGTCCAAACCGCCACAAGCCACGCCAAATTACCTACTCGTTATTCAATGCCCGCTCGATGGATTTCTCAATGGCGGACACCATGGCAGTAGTGTTCGCCTGGTCAAACGGGATATGATGCTTTGAACCATGGTCGTAAAAAACGGCCTTAGATGGGTCGCACATACCGTACAGATGCATACTTCCCTTGTAATACGGATCTTGCTTACCCACGATGTGCGTCGTTGGGATTGTGATGGGGTATTTCCCGTCCTCGGCAACAAGCTCTTTAAGCCCAGAGCTTTCGTAGGGTGTCGCACCGCAGATGAACACGGCGACCTTGAAGAGAGGTTTCGAATCGGTTTTGGCAAGGTTGGCTATAAGGGCACATGCGAGCGCAGCACCCTGAGAGAAGCCCATCACACCATCAAAGGGGCCTTGCTTCTCGATGATGTCGAGTGTGTACTCGAATGCCCGGACAAGATCTTCGCCGGGGTAAACATCGCGGGGGTAGTGGCTGTAGAACGGGCCGTCTAGAACGCCTTCGATTTCTGTGACTTGGGTTAGAGGACTAGAGTTGCGGCAGATTGAAACTCGTGTCATGTCTACGGACCGGCTTCAGGCTTGGAGGTCACTCGTCCATTGACGAATACAAACTTGTGGCCCTTATTTTCCAGCTCTTGGGTGATTCCGCCTGTGCTTGATTGTTACTGCATGGATCGATGATACCGGCAATTCCGGGAATAGACTTTGGGCGTGGTTCAAATACCTGACTGAATCTCGAAGATCTATCCTCGACAGTCAGCCTCCTATTTCTACCATTTGCACATTCCAGATGCGATATAACATACTTCAGCGCTTGTCCCCGCGCCGTGTAGACAAAGAAAGCGCATCTTCTGCCTTTTTCCAAGCAAATTGGTGTTGACCCAAGGCTAGGAGGACTAGAAGTTTAGGATGATCTGTCTTGTTACGCGTATGCGGTAGAGGACAAGGAGTGTGAGCTGGCTGCAGCAAGGAGATGACTGGTTTCTATATGCAAGACTCTCATGGCCCCCATTTTGACTTACGCCGAAACTAGGTACCTAACAAACTTACGGGTCCTCCAGCGTCGCCATATGCAGTCTGATGCTTGTGCGTCTAACAGCCCATCAAAGGACTTTCTCATAGGTGTAACTGTATAACTGATCAGCTGTTTACATAGTAGGCTGGTAGCATCACTAGTTCAAACTGTTCAGTATCCCTTGTTCTTAGTCAACACTTGTGCCATGGGAGACAAGCCTCGGTCGCCGATCCAGAAACTCTGTCCGCATACCTGAACCACGGTGGCTTCAAAGCACCTTTTATCTTATCATGGACAACTGCAAACAATTCTCGCGAAAGGAAAACGTCGAGCATCTTTGGGATAATTTTGGCTAGGCTGATATCTTTATTCTGCAATATGCCCCTTAGCGACTTTGCTTTCGCTGCCTCCTTCGCATCCCATGCTATCCTTCACCCGCTGGATTTCTACTCAAGCGTCGGCCCTACATTGAATGAATCGACTTTCGGTCTTTTGGGCGCGTCTTTTGACCCGAAACGCGATATCATCGATCTCTCCGGCAAGGTGATCTTTGTTACTGGAGGTAACCTTCAAGACCGTGTCCTTCAAGGGTCCCCGTATGGTTGCCATGATTTGCTGATTCCGTGTCCCCTTTGATAGGGAACATTGGCCTTGGAAAAGAAACAATCCTTCAGCTCGCGCACCATCGTCCATCCCGCATATATCTGGGTGCGCGCAATGCGACAAAAGCTCGCGATGCCATCGCCGACATTCAGGAGCAGCTTTCAACCCCAGCGGATATCAGGCATATTCCTCTCGACCTAGCATCTTTTGCTTCGGTTCGCAGCGCTGCTGAGAAATTTACCTCGGAATGCGATCGCCTGGACATCCTGATATTAAACGCTGGTACCATGGGCAACCCGCCAACAACCACAGAAGAAGGATTTGAAGTGCAATTTGGAACAAACCATATCGGTCACTTTCTGCTCACGAAATTGCTGCTTCCAGTATTGCAAAAGACTGCTGCCAGCCCTTCCTCAACCGACGTGAGGGTCGTAACTCTGTCCTCTTTGGCCAACTGCGTCGCTCCGTCGTACGATGTCATGACATCCTCGGATGCGCTGTTGGCTGCTAGTACTTGGACACGCTATGCCGCTTCAAAGGCTGCCAATATTCTATTCGCGTCTGAGCTTGCTCGCCGGTGCCCGGAGATCCTCTCTGTCTCCATTCATCCTGGTGCCGTGACCAGCAACTTGTACGAGCATGCGAAGGCGTCGGGTCCCGTCTCGAAATGCGGCGTTGCTGCTCTCTCACTTTTCTTTCGGTCAGTACGTTCAGGCGCTCTAAACCAGCTATGGGCTGCTGGGGTCAAGAGGGAGCTTTTGACCAATGGAGCATACTACCTTCCGATCGGGGTTCATGCTAAGAACAACAAATATTCCACGGATGCGGACATGGCAAAGAGACTGTGGGAATGGACAGAGGCTCAGATCTCTGAAAAATCTGCATCTTGAACCTCTTTCAGGCATTTTCCTAATTGACCATCCATATATACGTGTGCTCTATATTTTACACTATATATGCTCGATCTTTTCCCTCGAAGGCTTCTCCAGGTGTTTCGCTCCTCCTCACTTGAATACTGATCCAAATCATTATATCTAGTTCGGTTATCATCTCAGTCTTTTGAATATGATTAAGCTCACTCTACAGATGGAAATATGCTTTGCCGGTCTATCAGCTCTGGATCCACGACCTCGCGCGGGGAAGCGGGGAATATGCCCCTGAGGACCTGGCTATCTCCACAAACCTGGTCGCTTCAAAGAACTTGTCTCTAGTCAAGAGCCGTTAATGCTATGTCGAACCATCCTTTCTCTTGATAGCTTAATTATTGATCATGGGTCTTCGAGTAATTATCACCGGAGGTTCTGGTAAAGCCGGCCAACATGTGATCGCAGAGCTCCTTAAAGCCGGACATACAATCTTGAATTTGGACCTGCTTCCTTGCCCAAATGATAAAGTCTACACACTCAAAACTGACCTGACACAGTCAGGTGAGGTCTTCAGTGCCATGTCTGGGCAATTTGCCTTGAGTGAACCGTTTCCACCGGGGCTTCCTCCGACCCCAGATGCGGTCATTCATCTCGCAGGCTACTCACGCAACATGCTCGCACCTGATGACGAGACCTTCCGGACAAACACGGTCTCCACATACAATGTGATCGAGGCTGCCTGTAAACTAGGGATCAGGAAGATCATTATTGCTAGCAGTGTCACGGTGTACGGCGTGTCTTTCGCACTGGGTGACACAGATTATCCGTCTTTCCCGGTAGATGAAGAAGTCGATGCGAATCCAACCGATACGTACGCGATTGCCAAAGTTTGCGGCGAGCGAGTTGCAAGGGGTTTCGCGGGTCGGTTTGGTGCCGATATTTATGTCTTTCGGATTGGGCGGGTGATTGCACATGAAGAATACGAACCTGCGAAATGGAAGGTCCATGGTTGGTCTTATACGGACGCTCGTGACCTAGGTCGGATGTGCGACTTGGGCCTTCGGAAGTCAGGACTTGGGTTTCAGGTCTTCAACGCAACGAATGATACCATCACAAGCACGACCCCGACAGAGGAGTTTCTCAGGCAGCAATGTCCCAATGTCCCATTTACAAGACAGATGGAGGAGTTCGAGGCTCCATTGACCAATGCCAAGATCAAATCAGTCCTGGGATTCCAGGAAGAACACCCGTGGCGCAACTATTTTCCTTTCAAGGCAAAGAAATAAATGCATCAGTGAAGTGATAGGCTTAAAGTCAATGGGATACTCGCTGCGCTTGATATGCAATATATGTGATCAACATTTCATGATCAGGGCCGGGCGTCTGCCAGGTAACTCGTGAGATTACCGGATTCGTAAGTGATGCCGCTTGTGAGGAGTTTGGGGCCTACTTTCACTCTACGGCAAGACAACATCTATGACAGGCACAAACTCGTTCCTCTCTTCAGCCCATAGACAATATGAACGATTTCACCATTTAGTCAATTACGATCTTTAGCTAGGATTAAGCCAGAAGTCTCATGCGACACCGAGTCTTGTCATAGTTGGGCCTTGAGATCATTTAGGGTTTAGCCGAGAAGCCTCTCAATTCTCCCGAGAGCCAAACCCACAACCCAACAAAAGCAACCTAAGAAGAGATGTTGATGATGATATTGTAGAATGATGGTTCAGAATATTGAAAATCGTAGCAGTATAATGGAAATTCATCTGTAAGCTTGTAGAGTAAATCCTCAGAAGCCGTCCGACGCAACGAATTAGCGAGCTCGACTCCCCACACAAACCACAACTGGAACTTTCGTGCTCGGGGAGCCGAGATGCGCATCATCAGCAACTTCAACCTCCTCCCACCAAACACCACCTCAGTCACGGTAAGTCAATCCAAACCTCATCTCAGCCCTCGTCCTTCGATCACCATTTCGACGGTGTTTTCATCAGTCTCCCCTTGACCCGGTACCGCAACCTTGAACCCCTCCCGCTTGATCCTACCTCGATCCCCACCACCAGCAGAATTGCAGCCGCACATTTTGTCCCTACCGAGTTCCACAGATCTGGATTATTGACGTCTTCTTTCTAACCATCGCGCCAGATTTAGGTTCTCTACGAACACACATAAATTACCGTCAAAATGGATCAAGCAAAGCTGGCTAGGATGCAGGCGAGCGTGCGGATTGGTACGTTTTGTTCTTTCCTTTGGATTTTCGAGGTGCTGGTGTCCGACTCGGTGGTTTTTGCGGACGGCTCGAGAAGAAGCATTTAGAGCTTCGAGGTGCACCATTTGGGCAATGTGATGTCGCGACTCTCTCAGGTCGACGGGAAAGCAATTTGGGTCCGCAACTGACAGTTAACATTTAATTTCTTCTTCTAGGGTACGTATAATACTTTCATCTCATCTCTCCGTTCTCGATTCACGATCACGGCAACACTGAGAAGCCCTTTAAAAAGCGACTTCATCCACAATTGACAATACAAAACTGCGACTAATTTCATCGACAGAGGAAAGGGTACTCCCCGCCGCAAGGTCAAGAAGGTCCACAAGTCCTCCGGTGCCGACGACAAGAAGCTCCAGACCACCCTGAAGAAGATGAACGTCCAGCCCATCCAGGCCATCGAGGAGGTCAACATGTTCAAGGAGGACGGAAACGTCATCCACTTCGCCGCCCCCAAGGGTGAGTACCTGGACTCCGACTTCCAGCTTCCATTTCCACCACCCAGCTCGAAAGGAGAAAACTGACCAGTAACGGAAAATAGTCCACGCCTCCGTCCCCTCCAACACCTTCGCCCTCTACGGTAACGGCGAGGAGAAGGAGCTCACCGAGCTCGTCCCCGGTATCCTCAACCAGCTTGGCCCCGACAGCCTCGCCTCCCTGCGCAAGCTCGCCGAGAGCTACCAGAACATGCAGAAGCAGGCCGGTGCCGAGGGCAAGAAGGATGAGGATGAGGACGATATCCCTGACCTGGTTGAGGGCGAGAACTTCGAGAGCAATGTTGAGTAAATCTCATTTTGATCTAAAAATTGAAGAGACAGAGAGAACCTAAAGACATGATTGCATGCCATGCCTAATTTGATACACAACTCGACCTTGATCTCCAAAAAAATAGGACCGGACTTTTACCCTCATATGTGTGCTTTTGCCTCCTTTGCGATGACCAATGCCAATCCTCCTCGGGGTAGGGAACGGCGTTGGGCTGCGGTAGAAGACAGGAATGAGATTATGGATTGAGAATCGGTTGTCCACCGCCTGAACACAGATGGTGCTCGTATCCTTCGGAGAGATAGGTCGGAGTGTCAACCGCCGAGATTCATTACTATGTAGGCTACCGAGTCAAGTTGGGGTACAGCTGCTGCATGTCGGCAAATTTGCTGCATGATCTAGGTGGACCGTAGTTTGATTTGCATCTGTAGTGTAGATTCGGTGATGTCGATTATGAGATGTTCTATTCATCTCTAACAGCTACCCTTAGTCCTCTCCATACATTACCAATGTATCATTACGATAAAACGCGGATACGATAATGAAATGACATGTAGTGGGCTGGTATGACGCAAATGAAGCCTGGAAAGTGATGCAAAAGTGTTATCATACATAGGCAGGGTATCCGAGGACTGGTAGACATGACACCCCGTTCTTGAATCTCGTTCAAGTCGTCAGAGAAGAGGAGCTGCATCAGAGTATAGCTGGGCTTCTTTGAAGTCGAGCCACTCTGTCAGATGGATTTCAGTTTCAGACTCGGGAGTGAGATGAATGATGTGGATGGCGGCAGCAGCAAATGGGAAGGATATCACGATTCCTCCTTAAGCCCACAAATGTCGGTCCCTAGAACCATGTCCACCATGTACCAGAAGCGCCAATAAGCGTTAGATTTATCATAATCGAAAGTTCCATCTTCACGAAGCTGGGGTCCATCTCCAACAATATCGCCAGTAAACCAACTGAGGATAGGGATCGATCGTAGTACACGCTCTGTCACGGTTGGCTGCGGCGGAAGCGCTTCTGCAATAGGCCGTAATTTGGTTCGACGAACTGTGGGGATATGTGTCATGAACTCAGACTCTGGTTTTGGCTCCTTGGAAACATTGCGTTGTTGAAGGGCAGACGGTTGCTCGACTCCCGTGGCGGTGGCAGAGCTTGCAGTGCTTGTCGACATTTGTGATTCCTCTTCTTCTTGTAATTCGGCTACACCTGATAGGTTGTTCATGGCAAACGATCGCGGTAATGTGGCTGCACGATCTTTATCCTGCGTCTGGAGAAATGTAGTTGAATGCGACGTGGTCAAGGTGCGCGGTGCTTTCGACTTGAACTGGGCGGCTTTTGACGAGTCTACAGGGATCGGTGCATCCTCTGCAGGTCCTGAGCCATGATACAGTTCACAGAATACCAGATGCCCATCGATCTCCTGGGGAGAGTAGAAGCATGCGCGATCCGCAGCGATCGTCGAGTCAAACGTCACCTTAATCCAGTGGAAACCTCCAGCATAGCGTTTCGATTTCCGGTTCGCATCCGCAGACAGATTGGGCCGAATGACCACGTCGCCACCACTAAGCAGTTGTGCGAAGCCACTCGCCGAGTTAGGATCGCTACGAGGATAGTCCTCACAGATCAAGCCTCGAGAGATCTTCTCGTACTTATCGATGACCTTCCACTCGCCATCCTTGCTCCTGTAACCGTAAAGTATGCACTCGGTGGCGATCTTCTCGGTCTGTTTTCGCGGGTTGTCAAGGCTGGAGGACGACGAGGACTTGGGCAGGGTATTGCGACTCTTCTCCTCCTCTTGTTGCTGAGCGAACAGCCGCCCGAACTCTGCTACATTGGGGTTTTCGCGCTTGGCTGGCGTTCCAGTACGTGTACGTGAACGAGCTTGCTCGTAGCGAGCATTTCTTCTCTTGCCAAAGGGACCGCTTTCTTCAGGTGGTCGTCGTGGGTTGCGAGCTTCACTGTTAGAATCAGAGGTCATGTTAGTTACCTAATCCCCAAATTGTGGGAGAATAATAAGTCTAGTAAATGATAAACCTCACTCTTTGTACACATAGCCCCAAGGCAAAAGATTCCCCTTGTCATCTTTAGCGCGCTCCTCCGGAGGCACAAAATGGTACTCCATGGCGACGGGCGGCGGAGGCGGCGCAAAGCTCTATTGATGAACAAAGAAAGATGTTGGTTTTAGGGTGGCGATCCCGGGGGTGTAGAAGGATAAGGGCCTAAGAGAAGCAGAGTCCTGTCCCTGGCTGGGTATTTGTACGTTGTCTGTAGCAACACAAGCAGATTTTCATTGAGATGGATGGAGCTCTATCAAATATTTGGTTCTTGCAATAAACAGTGCGTTAGCCCGGATACGGTCACGTGATAGTCTCCAAGTACATCTACGAAGTATGAAAGGTTCAACTCTTATTATTCACCACTCAATTTGAGCTCCTCAATATACTCAATATACAGTCTCATAGGAGACTATTCGGCGGATACTGACTCAAGCTGAATAGCTGAATATAGGTGACCATCTCTCAAAAGTGTTCATGTATATGCCGCACTCTCACGAGGCTCCAACAGATCTACATAACTAAATTGATTTTTAAGTATTCGATATTGCAACCTGACTTTCTATAAATGCTCTAGTCTTGCCTCAAGAACGTAATGTGTCCAACATCGCCTTCCAGTCCACATACATCCCCAAACTCACCTACTTCCCGTCTCCGTCGCTGTACGTAATCGACGAGTTCCTCTAATGGGCAAGAAAATCCTGGTCCTGACTTGCAGTATGGTAAAGGCGTAGGTCTGTCATTGACGATGACTCGTAGGAATATTTCGTCCGGAGAATCCCGATTATTCGTGATTGATGACGGGCATGCCATTCGTTCGATGGCAATTCTGCCTCCCATAGGCATCACCGATGAAGTACGCCAGGTACGGTCCTCGGCAACATGTGTGACTGGCAAGTAAGGGTCGTATTTTGAGTCTTGTAAGATTTCCAGAGCAGTGAGGAAAGGCGCTATATCTCCGTCATGAACACTACAGGCGAAAGTTAGTATAGTGACTTTGTCTAAAATGAGAATTTTGGCGTCCGGAGAATCACGGGTATATTCAACACCGTCAGGGCTACTGACAAGCTGAAAAACGTGGTGCCAGCCTCAGGGCCAGCGCGCAGTAGGGCAGTCGTGGCATTGAGCCAGAGCCAACCCATCGCACCGGCATATGGATTACCAGGTCCCGCACGATAGTAATGAATCACGTCGCGGGCGTACGCGAAATATTCCCACTCCTTTTGAGTGAAAACACTGCACCAGGGACTGGATCCTCGTACAAGAGTCTCAAACCCGCACATCTCCTGCATGCTCCAGACCTCCAGGTTAGTCAACGGCCCGATTTCCTCGTTCTGTTCCTTGAGGGTGAGCCGTGCTGCTATATCGGGAATATACGTATTCTGGAAACGCGCCAGCATAGTGTAGCCGTTGTTATGACCGTTGTCGGCATCTTCAATATACCTTAGGCATGTATCCCCCGGCGTGAGGGTATCCGCGTGTCGGTCGAATGTCTCAGGGATAACTTCCAGAACAGCTTTACCGGTCTTCTCCCAGTCCAGACCGAAAAGACCAGACGCAAAATACGCTGCTGTGTCAATGACGCGCTGTGAGTCGCTTGCCCAGATCCGCGTCCTCCGGCCAGGCTGTAGTAGATGCTCATATCGGGTTAGGAAGCGAACACCCGTCATGAAAGCTTGCAGGGTGCCTGCGTACGGGCCCGTTCTGGTCAGTTGGTCAAAGTCCTTCCATGGTTCATCGGTAAAGTAGGTCCAGTTGTTCAGGAACGATAATGAGCCGTTCAGAACGACATTCGCGTCTCTAAATCTGTTGAGAAGTGAGAGATGGCCTGCAGTCATCGACGGTTAGATTCATCCTTGCTTACATTGACGCTCTCTCAACGACATTAGCATCATTGACAAGATTGACATACGAGCTCCGGCATTTTTTGTCGGATATCGCTCTGCGTGGCGCGACATCTGAGGATCGATTAGAAGTCTGGAGCCAGGACCACGCAGAAGAAACCAAAAATCGGAAGAGACTATACCATATGGACCTGGTTTACGGCACATCCCTCTGGCGGATTAATACTTTGCGACTCGGCGTGTCCATCGAGTTTCTCAACCCAAGGTCCATATCCACCGAGATGATAGAAAAGATTCCAGTCTCTGTGTGAGTCCTTAGAGCCACCGGAAGTAGATGGATGGATCCAAGTATTCCAACTTGGGTAGTATGATGACTGGGAGATAAACAAGGTGTTCCTGTGACAGATGAGCAGTGAACCATGGCTGTGGTAGAGGATGCTCGCGATGGCGGCTACAAAGGAAAAAATTATCGTCCACAATGGACGAACATCAAACATATTATTTGGCAGGTAACCTCTGGGAAATGTGAGGCATCAGAAGCCGGATAGAATCTCATTGCACGAATTAATTGAGGAGCTCCCATCCAACGAGCTGGTCGAGGAGTTTATTCAAGACACAAACACTCATCAAACTGAAACTGAAGACCACTCAGGACCCAAACCCTCCTTTTGGGTTAAAGTTGCAACTGATCCAATCCCACTGTGGCTTAAATGACATCAATCCTAAGGCCAGATACTATTATCCAGACTCGGAGGTGAGTTTGGTAACAGCCTTAAATGGCTTCAGTCACAGTATCAGAGCATCTACTATTGTATGATCTTCGCACAATGGGCCCTTAATCACACTGAAGTATTGGAAGTATTAGAAAGCCAGGTTCTGCAGAGGTGGGGTCAGATAGCGTTCGTGGACTAAGCTGAGCATCGATATATTGATCAGCTAAGATATCATCCTTGGACATAGATATATCATTTTTTTACTGTCAATAGAGGTAGTCGCATCCAAGATGCTTAATTTTCAAGCCTAGCGCTCAACCAAAGAACCAGAGCCAAGGGATGGTAATGAGGGAATAATGCCTCAGGCAGACGCTCTCCGCACATCCAAGCCGAGGCATAATTACGCT